TGTGTGTGTGTGTGTGTGTGTGTGTGTGTGTGTGTGTGTGTGTGTGTAAGCGTGTGTGTGTGTGTGTGTGCGCCCATTCACATCACACAGATCACTGTGAACATGCAGAGGCCAAAGAACAAATTGTGGGTGTCAGTTTTCTTCTTCCACCACGTAGGTCCTGGGGACTGAACTTAGCTTGTCAGGCTTAAAGTCAAGTGCCTGTGTCAGCTGAGCCATCAAGTAAAGTGCTTGCCTAGCACGTACAAAGTCCTGAGTTCTACAGGTATGCCTCTGACAGAGGCGACCTAGGACATATATCACTCTCTCAAAAAAATAAAACAGGCAGCTGTGGCACCCTTCATCCCAGGACTCAGGAGACAGAGGCAATGGATCTGTACAAGTTCAACAAAATGTTCTACAAGGCAAGTCCTAGGCTAGCCAGAGCTACACAGTGAGATCCTGTTTGTTTGTTTGTTTGTTTGGGTTTTTTTTTAAGGCTGTTAATATACAAGGATGAGCTCTCACCTTGTGTCAACTTGATACACAAACCAGAGTTATCTGAAAGGAGGGGACCTTAATTGAGGAAATGCCTCCCTGAGATCCTACTGTGGGACATTTTCTTAATTAGTGATAGATGTGGGCTGGCCCAGTGCACTGTGGGTGATGCCATCCCTGAACTGGTGGTCCTGGGTTCTATAAGAAAGCAGGTCGAGCAAGCCATGGGGAGCAAGCCAGTAAGTGGTACCCCTCCATGTCATTTGTCTCAGCGCCTACCTCGAGGATTCTGTCCTGCTTGAGTTCCTGTCCTGACTTCCTTCAGTGATGAACAGTGTAGAAACCCTTTCTTCCAGCTGGCTTTTCAGTCACAGTGTTTTGTCACAGCAATAGAAACGCTTACCGAGACCAAAGCCTTAGGTTTGACACTCAGAACTTCAGTGGGAGAGAACAAGAGGCTAAAGACTTCCAGGCCAATGAAGTTAAATTACAACTCAACTCCTCGACACCTTCTGTAACATTTGGCGTTAATCAAGCTCTTTCGGCCTCAGTTTCTGAGCCATAAAAATGGAAAGATTCTTCTTTGTCAATAGTATATAAATTATTTAAAAACACACAGAGAGCTTTAATTCCAGCCAGAGCTACATAAATGTGATATTGTCTAAAAAAAAAAAAAAACAATAAGTATGCACAGGGCCTGAAGAAATGGCTCTGTTGTTGGAGAAAGGACTGGTTGCCCTATCTGAGGACCTGGGTTCAAGTCCCAGCACCCACCGGGTAGCTAACAATCATCTGTAACTCTAGTTCCAGAATATCTGGTACCCTCTTCTGACCTCCTTGGGTACCGGGCTGCACAGACAGATAGACAGACAGGCAGACAAATAAAACAATCATACAATTGAAATAAATAAATCGGTTTTTTTAAAGTTCCTTTTTAAGTACACACAAAATTGGGTTTTTATATAATTTATTTATTTTTATTATATGTGTATTGATGTCTTGCCTACATTTATTTCTGTGTAAAGGTGTCAGATCTTGGAGTTACAGACAGTTGTGAGCTGTCATGTGGGTGCGGGGAATTGAACCCAGGTCCTCTGGAAGAGCACTCAGCACTCTTAACTGCTGAGCCATCTCTCCAGCCCCAACACGGGTTTGCTTTATAAATTAAATGTTAAATAGCTGGAATGGTGCAAGCAAAGAAAGCACTTGACAGACAACTTGATTATTGATTATAATCTCTGGAGCCCCATGCATCCAAAGAACTACAACAGAGTCAAAAATCACTTTGCAGATAGAAAGATGTTTGGAAAACATATTTTCCCTAAATAAAACAAAAAGCATCAGCCATGGCCTTTCATGAAAAATTGAGGTCGGTTCACACCACCAAGAGAGAGCTGTGGACTTGTTTACGTTGTGTTCTTGGTTTCTAAGCAAAGAGGCTGGTAGTAGAAAAACTTGAAGAGCCAGGCACCGGCGGGACAATGTAGCTCCCTCAGTCGTTGGTGCCCCAGCATGCGTGAAGCCCTGCATTTGATCCCACATGGGAATCCCAGCAGTAGCGCTGTGTAGGCAGAGGGATAAAGAGTGTAAACCCATCCTAGACAGAGTTCGAGGGCAAATTCGGATTCCAGAAACTCTAAAAAAAAAAAGTCTTGATGTTCCCGAAAGTAGAAATGTAGAGGTGTTTTGGTTAAAAACGCCTTTCAAAAAGCCTTTCCATTATTCTCCAGAACAGGGCAAAAAAGCGCCCGTCTGTGTTTACAGCATATACATATACATACACACACACACACATATACACATTTTTATACATATATATAGTTTGTTCGTGTCTGAGTGTGTGCAAGGAGGCATTGCATTTCCTAAAACTGAAGTTACAGCCAGGTGTGAGACACCACCATATGGATGCTGAGGAACTAAACTGTGCCCCCCCCCCCCTTCTGCAAGACCAGAAAGCCCTTTTAATCACTGAACCAATCACGTCCCCAGCTCCTTTTTCTGTTTGTTTGGTGTTGTGTTTTGGTTTTTCAAGGCAGCTGTTCCAAACACTTGTAGACCAAACACTCTGGCCTTCAACTCAGAGATCCGTCTGCCTTGGTCTCCCAGTGCTGGGATTCAAAGCGAACACAACCACCAGCAGCCTTCTCTCTCTCTCTCTCTCTCTCTCTCTCTCTCTCTCTCTCTCTCTCTCTCTATGAAGAGCAAGGCTCGAGCAGCAGCGTCAGCATGGATAGAGCCAAGCACCCGCTGGGCAGCCACGGTGCTCCAACCGCCTGTGACACAAAATCTCCAGTCTCACATCCAGTGCAACTAAGACTCGCTCTCTAAGACTCGCTCTTGCAGGACCTGGACTGGAAGGACTCCAGGACTCCCAAGAGGCGCAGGAGCCCCAGCCTTTTCGAGAACAGGCTCAGGCCACACCCAGGGAGGAGCAACTAGTGCACAGTCTCGGGGATTCCAGCCCTTGGAACACCGCCCCGGGGCCAGACGTGGAACTACAACCCCCAGACTCCCCGCGCGACCGCACGTGATTCCTCAGCCCCTGAGAGACAGAGCGCGGCTCCGTGAAGACCGGGTCCCCGGAGCACAGGAACCACCCGGTGGCCAAGGCGAGAGGGGCGCTGACTGGAGGATCGAAGGCAGGTACGCTGGGCAGGGGAGCTAGGGGCCTTACTGTAAGGGCGACCCTACCGCCTGGGGCTAGTGACACTTTGCAGACCCTTGTCTGAATCGGTCCCTTAGCCTTTGAGCAGAAGGGAGGTGAGCCATTGACTCCGATACACCTATCTCTTACTTTAGGAGAGGTTGCTTGTATTTCGGCCTCTGGTTTTGTGTTTTTCAATATCCGCATTTCTAGTGTGGCCAAGTATTTCTCAAGTCATTCTCCTCGTGCAGAAGTACATCACATACCCAACTCCCTTCTTAGACTTGGTGCTTTTAAAGCCGGACTTCGGTGCGGGGTTTCCAGGGTACTACTCCCTCCCCAGCGGCTCAGCTAGAACTTTTCCAAATTCACTTTAAGGGCGTGAGAACCTTGTGATCCATCTTGTGAGCATTTGCTCTTAATTCAAACTATGAAGGATTCCAAAGCGTAACACTTCCCAAGTTGATCTTAAATTTTGTATCAAAAATTGATTATTCGCTCTTGAAACTTACTATTTTTGTTTTGTTGTGTTGTGAGGGGGTCATTGAGACTGAATCTCTCTCTATGTAGCCCTGGTTGTCCTAGAACTTTCTATGTAGACCGGGCTGGCCTGGAACACTCAGAGATCTGCTTGCATGTGCCTCCCACGTGCTGGATTAAAGGCACATGCCACGACACCCTGCTTGTGTTTTGTGTTCCTAAGACACAGGACTCCTATATCTCAAGCTGGCCGCAGATTCTGCAGCTCCTGCAGCTCCTGCCTCCAGGCGGCTTGCAGTCTTGGACAGGCATTGACTTATACCCTGCTTATAATTCTGAGGTTTTTGATGAAAAACAGCGGTTCAGGAGAAAATCTGAAGTTGAATAATTTTCAGTTTGGAGGATCAAGAAATCCTATGTTCTCTTTCTTTCTTTCTTTCATTTCATTTCTTTTCTTTTCTTTTTGAAGACTAGGTCTCTCTATTATGTAGCCCTGGCTGTCCTGAAACTCTATAAGAAGACCAGGCTAGCCTTGAATTCACAGATTTGCCTGCCTCTGCCTCCCAAGTGTTGGGATCAAAGGTGTGTGTCACCATGCCCAGCTGAATCCTCTGATTTTGTTGTTTTGTTGTGATTTGACATCCCTGAAACTGAGCCTTATGCAACCCAGGCTGGTTTCCACTCACTAAGTAGCCATAGATGGGTTTGAACTCCTGACCGTCCTTCTTGCCACTTCCCAGATGCTGGTCCTTAGATGCACAACAATTCCTTGACTCTTTGTTTTGCTTTGTTTTGTTTTGTTTTGTTTTGTTTTGTTTTTTTCAAGGCAGGTTTCTCTATGTAGCCTTGGCTGTCCTGGTCTCACTTTGTAAACCAGGCTGGCCTCAGACTCACAGCGATCCACCTGCCTCTGCCTCCCTGAGTGCTGGGCTTAAAAGCACCTGGCTAATTCCTTGACTCTTACAGTGAGTTTGAAAAATGGACTACACTGAAGGGATTGAAGTGGGAGACAGATGCTGTGGAGCAAAGACAAGCCACAGGGAAAGGCAGGCGGCAGCCACAGGAATGGGTTTGAACGGTAGGTTTCACTGCAGGCATGAAGAAACCTTCCAGGAAGGCCAGGAAGATGACATCGTCTGAATAGGACAGAGACAAGCTTAGAAATGTGGCTGTTCTGGAGGCTTCACCATGATCCCAGCCCTTATTGTTTTTAAATACACAGACTGCATGGAAGTAGTAATTCATTTAATAGCCTCCAGTAAGACTGCCAAACAGAATTTAAAGAATGTCGTTATTAAATAAGAAATCAATGCCGCCGGAAGCACGAGAGCATGGAAGCCTTCGGAGCCAGATTAGACCGTTTGGTCCAGGATGCTCAGTGCTAACTGGCTCAAGCCCTCAGCTTTCTTATCACTTTAACCTTCCTATATCGTGAAGGTCCTCTTGGACCTGGGTCAGTGACCACTAATCCAGATAAAAGGCAGCACGGGGTAAGTCATGAGAGGGGAAGGAAGAAGTCCCAGGTAGGAAGATAGCAGAGTTTAGATGACTCAGGGTCTCAGTAAGCAAAAGTGCTGAGTGTTGTGGTGGAGACAGCAGCACAAAGGGCTACTCCCACAGACAGGACTTCATGGAGAGCACTGAGCAGGTGTTGCCTGCATACGTGTGCCTGGCGCAGCCGCGAAGCATGCTGTGCCAACTCATTTCACCCCAGGAAATGAGGTTGCTACTGTCCTCATTACAGAGAGATAAAGAAGCGTAGAGCGCTAAATGGTTGTGCAGCCTGGCTCCAGGGCCACCCTCTATCCTCTATCATCTTTCTTGAAAAAAAAGAACTTGAGAGGGAGGCTAACATGTCAGTTCACGTTGGGTATCTTAAGATCGCTGTAGGAGTGCCAAGTGGAGATATGCGCCAGGCATTTTGACCTGCCTGCTGAATCCAGGCTCTTCCCAGGATGCCCATTTCCTCTCTTGGGTCTTCTACCTTCATATGGGCAGGTTCATTCTGCCTGATGGAAAGGTCCATCGGTCCCAAACGAACGAATGAAACGGGATTGCCTGCTCCCACACTTGGGTATCTATCAGGGAAGTCGCCATCAGGACAGTCTGAATGAGTGGAAAACCAGACGTTAGCTGGGGTTGTAGCTTAGTTGGTTAAGTGCCTGTCATGCACAAAAACCTGGGTTCTGTCCTGAACCACAGGGAAAAAAAATAATTTAACTGTGTGGTAGCATGTGCCTTTAATGTTCAGTTTACAAGGAGAGCTTGTAATCTCAGAGAGACAGAAAGAGCAGGAGTTCAAGACTACCCTCCACTACATAGCGAAAGGAGGGCAGTGGGGCTCACAGAGACCCAGCCTCACAGAAGCAAAAGGCTCAGGAGCTTGCTGCCAACCCTGACAACCTGATTCCCAGAATCCACATGGCGAAAGAAAAGAACTGATGTCCACAAGGTGACCTCCGACCTCTGCACGTGTGCTGTAGAATGTGTGCGCTCATACACATAGGCACATACACAATGAGTAAATGTTAAAAAGAAGTGGGACAAAGAGAAAAGCCTAGAGAAGCTGCAAAACAAATAAATAAATGAAATGTAGACTATCAGAGGGTACTCGGTTAGTTGAATGATAGCACTTAAGTGCTGGGTTTTGGTTGGGACTCCAGCTTAAGATATGAACAGAGAAAGGAATGCTGGGGCTGGAGAGATGGCCCAGCGGTTGAGAGCACTCACTGGCTGCTCTGCCAGAAGACAGGGGTCCAATTCCCAGCACCCACATGGCAGCTCACAACTGTCTGTAACTCCGGTTACAGTGGCAGTCTCACTCAGACAGGCAAGCAGCAGCATGCCAATGCATATAAAAGGAAATAAAGAGTTAAAGAAAGCCTTCTTTCTGACTATCTTCCTTTTAAGTAATAGCAGCCTCATACATTTGAGGCCCCTGAGTGAAGTTACAGCTCGGATCCTGGGTCTCCTGGTTTTCACTCCTATTCCTGAGGTCTGGGCTTTCCCCAGCTCTCTACATAGCTAAAATGGAAGGCCTTCCAGACAGTATTTTCCCCAGGCCCACCCTCTCTTTGTCTTAAAGTTTCCCCACCAATGTAATTCAGCTCTAAATTTTTACATTCTTCTACTTGCTCTGGGTCCTTCTATGTTATAAGTATATTTTACAATTCTAAAGTATTTTACAATTCTAAACCGGGAATGAACTTTGGCCTGGGAGTTTGGTCATTAATTGACATTCCTTGAAGAAAGAGAGCAATTGCCACTGTGTATTTTCCAGACTTTCCAGCAGCTCGATGGCCTTCCCTAAGAAGAAACTCCGGGGTCTCGTTGCTGCCACCATCACTCCAATGACTGAGAATGGGTAATTATCACTGGGGGCCAGAGAGGGACCTGTTCCCATTCACCGAGAAGGTCAGAAGCTCCAGGAGTCACTGCAGCTCCGTCTGGGGTGGCTTCTACATTGCGCCTGTCCCCCTAAGTCAGGAAAGGGCTGGTCATCATCCTGGTGAAAAAAAGGAAGAGGGAAGGAAATTCTCCCAATGCCTTTAAGCCCAGAAAGGGCCAGTGGAATTAGAGGAGACTCCCATCTTAGCATGAGTATTGTCCTGGTCTCTCTCGGGAATCCTGTCACTTTGGATATCACTGAGTAGCTGGCAGTGTGGCTCATTGTAGAGTCAGTGCTTGGGTTTGATCCGTGGAACTCACAACGAAAAACTGGAGGGACAGTGCTAAAGAGGTGGCTTAGCTGCGACCATGCTTGCTGCCAAACATGAAGACCAGGTGCAGGCTCACCAACATCCTCGTAAACATCAGATAATCTCAGTATTGCAGAGGTAGAGACAGGAGGACCTGGGGAGCTTGCTGACAAGCCAGTCTGTCCAAATCAGCGAGCTTCAGGTTCAGTTCAGACAGTGCCTCAAAAAATACCAGTAATAAGGAGAAGAGCAGTTGAGGAAGACACATGAAGTTAGCTTCCAGCCTTCATATATTTGTATGCGCATGTAAACATGTACCCATACACATGTATACTCAGAAACACGTCCAGATCACATTACAGACATCTCAACACACACAACCACAAAGAAAACAAAGCAGGCTGTTCATAAACTTGTCTTAGGATCTCTCTCTCTCTCTCTCTCTCTCTCTCTCTCTCTGTTTCTCTGTATCTTTCTCTCTCTCTCTGGTTTTGGTTTTTCAAGACAGGGTTTCTCTGTTTTAGCCCTGGCTGTCCTGGAACTCACTCTGTAGAGCAAGCTGGCCTTGAACTCACAGAGATCTGCCTGCCTCTGCCTCCCTGAGGGTTGGGATTAAAGGCATGCATCACCACCACCGCTGCCCAGCTTGCCTTAGGATTTCTATTGCTGTGATGAAACCATGAGCAAAAGCAAGCTGAGGAGGAAAGACTTTATTTGGCTTATACTTCACATCACAGTTTATTATCAAAGGCAGTCAGGGCAGAAACTCAAACAAGGAGCCGATGCAGAGGCCATGGAAGAGTGCTGTTTACTGCCTTACTTCCCCCTGGCCTGCTCAGCCTGCTTTCATATAGCACCCCAGGACCACCCGCCCAGGGGACGGCCCCACCCACAATGGGCTGGGCCCTCCCACATCAATCAGTAATTATGAAACTGCGGTACAGGTACAGCCTTACCTATAGGCAAATCTTTTGAATTTTGTTTGTTTTTTGATTTTGTTTTTTGAGACAGGGTCTCACTATGTAGCCCTGGCTTTCCTGGAACCCCCTATGTAGACCACGCTGTCCTTGAACTCATCGACTACCTCTGCCTCCCAAGTGCTGGGATTAAAGGCCCAGCTTTGTTATACGCAAATCTTATGGAGCTTTTTTTTTTTTTAAGTCCTTCTTCCCAAACGACTCTAGTTTGTGTCAAGTTCCATACAACTATCGAAGACCAGTGTTTTGGAAGTACACTACTCCATGAGAAAGGGGAAGACATCAGCAAGGTGGACTCATCAGGCGTTTTTCTAGTCTCATTTAGAAATTGATTAAATGTTGGGAGGTGAGGCCAGAGGAAGGAGGGAAGGCAGCAGAGGTAACAGCTAATGATTGCTGAGTGAACCTTCCCTCACTCCTGACTTCCAGAGGCAGGCTGTGGCAGCCCCTTTGCTTCCATGATCAGATAATGGCCACTCGTCATACGTGATTATGTACTGTATGAAACTTCTCCTTGGTCACCAGACACCAGGGGGCGGGTACTCCCCGAATCTGAGTGTTATGGACCCATTGGAGGTGAATTCTGCCTTCTTTAAGCTTCTTCCTCCTGTCAGAAAAAAAAAAAATTCTTTTCACTATACCTACATTGCAGACAGATGAACATTAAATAGGATGATCCTTGCAACGGCACTTGGTCATTGCACTTAGGACAACAGGTTTGAATTGTCACTGTGGCAAGGGATGAGGATACGAGGAAGATGGGCCGATAATACTCGTGGTTTGTTTTGTTTTGTTTTGTTTTTCAAGACAGGGTTTCTCTGTGTAGCTCTAGCTGTCCTGGAACTCACTCTGTAGAGCAGGCTGGCCTCAGACTCAAGAGATCCCCCTGCCTCTGCCTGCCGATTGCTGAAACTAAAGGCATGCACCACCACTACCTGGCTAATACTTCTTAAAAGGCCTTTTTTTCCAGGCCTGGTGGCACATTCCTATAATCCCAGCACTCTGGGAGTCAGAGGCAAGTGGGTCTCTGTGAGTTCAAGGTCAGCCTGGTCTACAAAGTGAGTTCAGGATAGCCACGGCTACACAAAGAAACCCCGTCTCCAAAATCAAAGAAACAAAAAGGCCTTTCTTTAGGCTCATTCAAAGGTGGCCACATCACAGCTCCCTCAGCTATCTGAAGCCCAAGACTTCTAAGATGTACGAAAAAATATCTGTCTGTCCTGGATCTAACTTGCTGAAGTATTATTTAGATCACTCTGCTGGCTCATAGTATTTTTTTTTTCTGTTACTTCTCCCTTTCCAGAACTTCTGGGAAAGGCTAAAATCAGCTATTTCTCAATGCATCAGCTACATGTTGGGTAAATAAGCCAGAGACATGTGACTGCATGAGCAGGCTGGCTTTACTTCCTGCTACAGAGTAAAATCCTGTCTGTAACACAGCTCAGCACATTCCATCTGCTTCTTGCTCCATTAACCTCTGGAGTGGCTCCTCCAAATAGCCTCGCTTTTCATCTGGGACACGCTGAGTGTTCTTCCCTATTCTACTGTTATCTGGAAGCACAAACCCAAGGTACTGGAGATAATTAACAGGTCTCTGGAGCCAGGAGTGTTTGTGCACATCTGCAGACTCAGCACTTGGGAGGGAGAGGTGAAAGATTCAGTTGAAGGCCTCCCTTAATTACTTGGTGAGTGCAGGGACAGCCTGAGGTGTGTTAACTCCCTTTTTCTCTCAAGGCTTGCTCCATCAAAATACTCTTATGGTGGCTGAGGCATGGCTGCTCTTCCAGAGAACCTGGGTCAAATTCCTAGCATCCATATGGCTTCTTATGACTGTCCGTTAACTCCAGTCCCAGCATCTGATGCCCTCCTCTGGCCTTTTTGGGCACCAGGAATGCACATGGTGCCCAGACTTATATTTATGCAAAACACCCGGACATGTTAAATAAATAAATCTAAAAGAAATTAAAGCAAACAAGACCACTTGTTTATATACAAAAAGTTTAGAACACCCAAGAACTAGTGGACATTAACCTATTTAGCCACAGTAAAATCTGCCCTTTTTGGGACTGGAGAGATGCCTCAGTGGCTAAGAGCACTATCTGCCCTTCCAAAGGTCCTGAGCTCAATTCCCAGCAACCACATGATAGCTCACAACCATTTATAATGTGAACAGATTCTCTCTTCTGGCAGGTGTAAATGCAGATAGAACACCCATATACATAAAATAAATAAATCTTTAAAAAAAAATCTGCCCTTTTGACATGTTTCCAAAACATTAGATGGAAAGAAAGGGCACATGGATTCTAATATGTGGAAATTCGTCTAGGTGATATGGAATTGGACAGTGATTCTCACCTGACTTACAATAGAAAAGCTTCCATAATTTCAAGTGACTGCATACAGACGCTGTCTATAGATAGATAAATAGATAGCAAGATATAGAGAGACTTTATATATATATATAAAGTGTATATATATATATACATATATATGCATAGATAAGAGATGGTCTATTTATTCCTGGCTGGCCTGAAACTTTTCCCCAGCCTGAAGTTTAATGAGCATCCTAGAAAATAAACCTGGCAGGTCACTCTCCTCCACTGGAGTCTGTTGACTCTCCTCTCTCAAAACCTTGCTTCTTGCTGTGTGGGCCTTAAACCAGTTATTCCAGTACCACAGCACTAGGCAGAACTTGACCCTGAACAGTGGTCCTTTAAATTCTGAGGTGAATTAACCTGAAGATAAAAGCCAAACTTCCCGAGCCAGCCTAGGAAGTCCTGCACAGTCTACCTTTTATTTCTGCTTCTTCGGTTTGTTTCCTCAAACAGCATCACGGCCTTTCTTTCCAGGCTCAATACCTTGGAGCATTTGCAGGGTTGAAGGGAATTTTCTCCTCTCCCTCTGAAGAGTTCATCTTCCCATCTCCTGAAATACACCAGCAACAGATGGGAGAAGAGCATAGAACACTTATTTGCCAGGCCTGGGCTCAGCGACCATACACAACATGACACTTAAAGGGAAGGCATGGCCTCTTCCCCACAATAATACAGGGTCAGGGCCCTGCCATAATCCAGTATTCAGATATTTCCATTTCACTTGGACAGAATTATTTTTGGTGTTACGGTGTCACAATCAAACAGCCACAGAACAGCCTTGTAGATCCACATTCAAAAAATGCAAAGTAAAGAGAGCATAATTAAGATAATTCTGTGATGTGTGGGGTTATAACTCCCCCTCTTTTATTTTTTGCAATTGGTTCTTAAGAGATACATGGGCACGCTCAACAATTCCTTGGCCTTGAGGATTATATGGAATACCCGTTTTATGACTTACATTCATTTGAGCACAAAAACTCTGAAAAGCTTGACTTGTATCTCCCGAACCATTATCAAACTTTATAATGGAAGGAATACCAATTGTAGCAAAACATTTTAAGCAATGACTTATAACATGTTTGGTGGCTTCTCCTGTTAAGAGAGTTGCCATGATAAATCCTGAAAAAGTATCAATTGTTACATGAACATATTTTAGTTTTCCAAATTCTAGGATATAAGTTATGTCCCAAGGTTTTAAGTTTAAGTTTATGTTACAGATTTTAAACTACAAAATGGTGAATAATCTATAACCAAAACATATAGAACATGATAAACTTATATATTCAAAACAGACAGACAAAACACCTTGCTATT